TTTTACGGCAATGTCTTTTTATCCAACGAGAAATAATAGTGAGTCCAAAGAAACCTCTCTAGTTTGGATATGGTAAAAAGCTTTTTATCAAGATAGATATAAAGATAGGATGAAATGAATACCAGGATTATGACTTATAATTGTATACAGGTACGTGCAATATTATGATTAGTCCAAGGGGCCATATTATATTACTTTACTCAAGTACTTTACCGTTGGATAGTTCTCTGTGCCAATGTTTACATAGGTCATTGTAGTACATGCCCTTGCTTGTTATCGCAAATGAATAAACACTCACGAAGCTCTCTTCATATTTCAATCATGCAATTTAACATTTAGCATTTGCAACCTGACCTCAACCAGTAAGTACTTTCCTTGCCTCATAGGCATTTGCACAAGTTGTCCCAATCGAGATCTAGACTCGTTGGCATAACAAGCTAGTCTTATGTATTATTACTATTAAGGCTAATAGACAATATTCTTCTAATATGCCCCGGAGAATCTTGATCGCCATGCTAAGGGAGACGATGGAGCCAAGGGTTCAAACTACTTTTAGGCGTAAGTGATTACATATAAAAAAGCTTAAAGAAAAAAAGAATTTAAGATGCATCGATTCATTTTACATGCAATAACGGCTACACAAACGACAAAGTAAATGGCATACAAACTGTAATTTTGAATGTCTGCAACAAAGGGCCCTAGTGTGAACCAGTAGAATACAGCATAATTATAATATATTAATGATAATAATAATAATTATAATATATTAACTATAATAATAATAATAATGATAGTAATAATAATAATAATATTAATAATAATAATAATAATAATAATAATAATAATAATAATAATAATAATAATAATAATAATAATAATAATAATAATAACAATAATAATAAGAATAAGAAGAAAAAGAAGAAGAAGAAGAAGAAGAAGAAGAAGAAGAAGAAGAAGAAGAAGAAGAAGAAAATAATATATCTAATCCAAGCATAGTAATTGGGGGTAAATGTGGCATTTTACTTCTTAATAATAATAATAATAATAATAATATTGGATTCTTATATAGCGCACGTATCGACCTTGCAAGGTCCTCATCTTCTTCGTATTTCTCTCTCTCTCTCTCTCTTTGCTTTCCCCTTCCCCCTACTTCTTCTAATGATATATCACCATCTTCTCTTCGTCATATTTTTGTTGCTTGTACTGTTTCTATTGTCTTGTGTTGCATACATTATTTGAAAAGAACATGTACTTCGAATTCCGCAGTTTTCAGGTTTTTTCTTGCCATCTATTTGCAACGATAATACTTAATAGGTTTATGACTTGACAATCTTATCCATAACAATGACAATTTTGAGAGTACGATTTCATTCTGCGTGGGGAAATACAATTATATCGGAACCTGGTGGAGTATAAAAGTACATGCATATTGATATCAATCGCAACTATGTACATACGAGATTGGCGATTGACTCGTTTGGATCATTCGCAACCCTTTATAAGACGGGGCCCTGCATACACAATTATTTTTAACATAGGTTGCTAATTTTATACCCTGTTTACTTTGAACATTGGCCTTTCGGGTGGAGCTTGGATACCAAAGTGTCCTTCTTGGTTGGCAAACTGAAATTAGATAGCTTTTATTTTCCAAACAAAGAGTAAATTGTTTGGTACTATAAAAGTGATTACAAAAATATTACCCTTGCAGTTAGAATGAAAATAACCGAAATTTATTAGGATATATAGTTTTTAAAAAAAACCTCCTGCTGTGTACTTTTTCATACGACACACCTAAGAATGTATACAATTTAATGAGTGCATCTTCTCTGTAAAAAAAAAACAAACGACATTCCTCTTTACTCAAGGATGACAAGGATAAGAGCATTCCTCGATCATCTCGAGTCAGCCATATAAACCAACGCACCTACAAACTCTTCTCGTTGGAAAACAAGCTATAAGTATAATAATCAGCCTTCAGATAAAGTGTATTTTCATCTAGCGATTCCACCGGATATATTGAGCATAATGGATGAATGATAATGATAATAATTAATAGACAGACACTCGTAGTATTGTAATGCACTACTAATATGCTGCGAGTGCGTTACGACCTTCATAATTATGGTGTCAAATTAAGTACAAGTATGCATTGCATTCACATATAACTTCCCTACTGTGATACATGAAAGTGCATACCTAAGAAGGGTATAGGGCAGTTTTGTCGTTTAGTTGTAAGCAGCCAGAAAAAGAGTCAATATGAATGATATTCTATTTTGAGCCACTTTTGGCTCAGGAAATATTTTTAATGTATTCAAACGATTATCGGTCACACTATGAGTCAATGTGGAATATACTGTATTTATATTGATTGTGATGAACGTCGAAATCAATAAAAGCTCGTAAATGGTTCTCCTCTTTATTATAGTGCAGTCATAATAATTTATCACACAGTCATCTGCATGGGTACGCGTTATCGCATTCCATTGGGCTTTCTCTGACATAAGCATCAGCAGTTTAGTTCAAGAAATAAATACTCGAAGTGTTTACTACACCTGGGTCGAGAGAGACAACAGTTACCGTAAGTTATGTATTTTGGTTCTATGCAGGATTCGAATCCTTAACTTCTTGACTAAAAGCCATAATAAAGGACTACTATACTACATGGCAAATAATTGGTAGCACTATTTTACGACTCATCTTTCTTGCAGTCTGTCTATCTCAATCTTCGACTGTCTCTCTTCTCTCTCACTGTCTGCTCCCCTCCGTCCCCCCCCCCCACTCTCCCCCTCCCATCTTTACTATCGTTATCTCCCCCCTCCGCTTGCTTACTCCATGTATACCACGTCTCCCCTCTCTCTCTCTCTCTCTCTCTCTCTCTCTATAATATATACCTATCTGTCTCTCTGTCTCTCTCCCCTTCTCTCTCTCTCTCTCTCTTTCTCCCTTTCACTTTCTCTCTCTATCTCTCTCTCTATCTCTCTCTATCTCTCTCTCTATACCTCTCTGTCTCTCTGTCTTTCTCTCTCTTTATATCCCTTTACTTTAAGTTATTTCAGTTCTGTGACTCTTTTCACGTCGTTCATGCTATTACTCCAGAACACGATTACTCCAGAACACAATACATGCAAGCCTTGCTTGTCGTATAGCATCTCGTTAGCAAGAAGAAGCGTGATGCCACTTTCTCCCCTCCTTCGTAAATCAGCTATTGTGTCGCATGCCCTTCAATGAATTATTTAAAGTTTCCTGTTAGTTATTCACGATATGAAGTATTCAACATAATTGTTTCGTTATCAATTATAGAAGACGGCAGGCGAACGTGTGGACAGCGGACTTGAAAGATAGATCAATTAATTTTGAGGACACACGGGGCATTAGAAACATGCTATTGTGCTATCAAACGATGTTTTAATACCAATTTTAACGCACGGCGCGGCGCCAATGTTCCTCTCTAACGGTATACTTAGGCGAGAAGGGATGTCAGGTGATGAATCTGGAAATATATTGTTTCACTTCCCTTTCTCACGGTATAATCTATCTATCCCTACCCTCTCTCTTCCTCTATCCCTATCCACGCTTTATCTGTCAATCTTTCTCCCTCCCCTTTTCTTTCTATTTCTCTCTTTTGGACTCTCTCTTTCCTCTCTCTCTCTCTCTCTCTCTCTCTCTGTCTCTCTCTTTAATCTTCCTATTATTTCTTTCTGGATCCTGATGGCCAAAATGATTTTCGTTTTCTTCTTCAAAAGTATCCACGTATGTCTCTAACTAAAGAAAAAAAAGTACTCAGACCAATAACTTAATAACGATCAAAATATTGAGTATTTTAAACCTGGACTTTTCCCCACTATGCATGATAACAGTTTGTTTTTACATTATAATATGTCTGGTGAAATATGATAATGTTGAAATGCAATTCTACATAATATTATATACCGTCTATCATAATGAAAGGACAAGTGGTTTTGCACTTTACCGTATGTTTCTGAACCAATAAACGTATTTTTGATTTGTACTGGTGTAATTCTTCAGTTTCACTGTATAAACATCATTCTTTCTATATGTTCGAAATTCAATTAATTTCTAAATGTAATATAGTTAGACTATGCCAGAAAGTTTTCTTGCATTTATAGTCACCGCAGAATATTATGTTTAAATTGAGTAAATACATAATAGGCCTCAGTCATGATTGTTTTTATTTATGACATGATTGTCTCCTGAGAGGAAGAAATTCTTGCCTTACAACCATTTTAGTGTCTCTCAACATTTTGTTTTTCAACACCTTTTTCCTGAAAGACTATTCTATATGATTGCCATGGGATAAATTCAAATGGCAACAAAGTGTACAAACATTAAATCTCTAATGATTATTTTTAATCTAGAATTTGTCTCTTTAGGAAAATGTCAATTTCATGTAATGAGTCGTATCAAAATAAGATTTTATTCTTATTTGTTTTGCTTCTGATTTTCTCACAGGGTATTCATTTTTGACGAAACTACGCAAGATTTAGCGGGAGGGAGGGGGGGGGGCAATCCATTAATCACCCAATCAGTCCACGAAGTATTAGAAAAGTTGTTCCCTGGTGTCTCATCATGAAATAAAACCATAATAAACACGCAAATGAATATAGATATATTTGCTTATGGACAGACGGAACACATTTGTTTTCACACTCTCCCTAAATGTTATTGTATAGACGAGACGAAAGACAAGCTAATATTTTCACAGCATTTTTGTTGTTGTTGCAAGCAGATATACCTTTATCAGTTAGTTTGTGCTACAAATCAAAATAGCATAACCCTAAAACTTCATCTCCGTTGTATCTTTAGACTTGGCGGCTCCTCATGCACCCAGCACCCATCCTACATAAAACGTCGGAATTAAACATTTCTATATGGAAAACTACTGATGCCAATATCAATTTCTTTCTTTCTTTTCTTTTTTTCGTCGCTGTCTTAAATATCAATAACATAATACATACAACTATTTTCGATATTCAACTTAC